AAAAAAAAAAAAAAAAAAACGGAGGTTAAATTGATAGAACTAATTTTTACTTGCTGGGCTACCTTGTTCTGAATAGCAGGCTAGGTATAATAAATATAATAACAAGATTTGCCAATAGGTTTCGCCTACAAAATCGCAGTCCACCTACATTTCAAAGCTACAAATGCCCCTTCAGAATATTTTTATTCTTAGGATGTGTAGCAGTAGTTTTTTTGTTTTAATTTGATGTATTATCAGCATAAAGAGACTTCCATTAGGCTAAACCTCAGGTTAGTGGTTTATTAATTAACTCTTCTAGCATGCAGCAGCAGTTAAGACACAGCCGTTAACCAGCTTGCAAGTTGCAAAGAGAAGAATGTGTACAAAAAGTTTCGAGATAAGTTGAAGTTAAGCAAATAGGCTGAAAAAAATTAAAATAAAAGAATACCTTATAGGAGGGGGAAAAGTATAAGTCTAGTCCGGTCCAGATGAAAGGGCGTTCACAAACGTTACCATGTACGTGGGACAATTGATCTCCCACAGAGGCTGAAGCAGGGCCCTGCAGTCAAACGTAAATGAGGGCTAACCAAGTGAAATAAATCGCTTGCTATATTGAAAATAGCTCCACGAAAAATGTCAAACTATAATTTACTAACTACTTAAGCACAGACAACAAACTCGTCTAATAGTCCACAGAACCTTTGATCCATTCCTGGTAAGGTTGTCTGGACCGAAATGCATTTGAAAGTTTCCGGCCTCAATGTTTTGAGTTTGGACATTGGCTCCATGAGGGGGCGCAATGCACAAGTTTAGGTCAAGATCATGATGTTCGGCATCTAACATATCAGACATAAGAAAAAACACGTTAAGAAACAGCATTTCCATGATATGCGTCATATTAAAAACTTCAGGGAGGAAACATTATGGAATTGAATTTGAGTTTATTTACTTCCAATGTCCGGCACAGAATTTAACTCCTCTTCGTACGTGCACGGCTCAAAGTTGGTGACTGCATCTCTTCCGTTGCATTTGATAGCAGCCTTGTCATATGCCCTATCGGCAGAAAATTCCACGAGATCAGACATATTAATGCAAATGGTTAACCCTTTGAAACAAATAACGAATTAGGGGGTGTTTCTGCAATTTTAACCTTGCAGCTTCTATCTCACTGTCAAATAACCCAAGATAGATATACCTGCACAAGAGAATCACAAAAATATGAGAAAATAACTTGCCAACTGGTCTGAATTTTAAGCAGCTGCAACATTATAATTATAACAATCCTTCCAAAATAAAAAATGAAAAACCAGTTAGTTTCAGCTATATTACTTCTTGCCAAGAAACTGCCCCATCCGAGCTTCCCATCTTCCACATTTATGCAATGTTACTCCCCTATACTTTGAGCTTCCTCTAGAAAACCCTGTGCTCTGGCGCCGAAGTATGTGCACAAATTCTTCCTTGGTTAAATTCTTCATCTAAGGAGCAAAAAGGGCAAAAGCTCAGCAACAAAAAACACTTCAGGACAAGCAAAACATCAAATGAAACATATCATACTCAATGATGCCTCAACGAACCTGCTTGAGATCATCTTCATAATCACTGGCATTGAAATTGATGTCGGCATCAAGACCACGAAATTTGATTGCAGCACGGTCATATGCCCTGTAATTTAGAAGCAGATACAGCTCACAGAATTTTAGCAACCACAACTCTTTCATCTGAATATTGAATTTACAGAAACTTAAACTATCTAACCTAGCCGCAGCATGTGCAGTGTCAAAACCCCCTACACAAACACAATTCAACGTTCCGGTTTTGTGGAATTTCCAGTATATCAGTACAAAATTCAAGCAAAATAGTCAAGTAGGCAAAAGGTACATGTACTATTGAGGACACTTACCCAAATAAACTTGTTTACCACAGTCCCTGCACAGGATCACATGAAACAAAAAAGGCTAAAATTAATCAAACAATAATACAACGGAAAACACCGTAAGTCCCCACCACGACAAGATGCAGCAATCACCATCATGTAGTATTTACAGATCATAGCCAACCATGGCCATCACGAGCAAAATTTGAATCGACCAACCAATGAAATGTTTTCCCAAGTCCTACAGTTCTAAGTTTCTCAATATCAGATCCATTAGAAACTTCAAGTACCAAAAAAATTGAAAGCATAAGTCCAGATACAGACATACAGTTGTTACTAAAATGGTGGGAGAACATAGCTGATTAGTTTAAGCAGTAGTCGAATTTATATTGGAATTAACATCTTCCACATAGAATATGGCAAATTCGAAATATAAAAAATAAAAATCAGAAATGTAAAATTTATCGAAATTATCTATCTACAGACGTCTGACAACATAGTGAAGCGAAATACAGAGAAGTGTAAATGTATAACACAGAGTTCAAAATTTCTTACGCCGTAACAACCTACCAAATGTGAGATTCCCAACGTCCGGTGCGGCGGTAGAACGTGACGCCACGATACTGAGAGCTGCGGGACCTCGGCCCTCTCCGGCTCTTCTTCACGAGCTGCCTCCTCTGCAGCTGCTGCGCAGTGATCACCTCCTCCGGCAGCTCGCCGCGGCTCTCCACGAGATCCGCCCACCGGATCGGCCGCGTTTCTCCGCCGGCCGGAAAAAACTCCTTCGTCACATAACCGCCGTTCGACCTCTCGCCCTCCTCAGCTACGCACTTCCATATATCGAAACCGACAGTGTGGTTCGAGCACGAGTTCTCGTCCCCAGCGATGCTCGAGGTGTCCACATTGACGACGGAGGAATTGGAGCTGCCGGAATACTCCATCTGGTCGCCGGACGGCGCGAGGTGATTGTCCGACACCGTTTCCGCTCGATCGGCGGTCGGCGGCGGAGGATCGGCGGTCAAATCGAAGGCGAACATTGCTAGAATCTTCAATCCACCGAAGTTGGATGTACAGGCGGCCAAAATGCATGCGCAGAGCGAATGAGAGTGGGACAATGGTGAGAGAGAAAATGGAATTGATTACTTTTTTTTTGTCCTACCTTGTTTGTCGAATCACAGAGATATAGGAAACTGTGTGTGCGTAGATATTTGTATACGAAAATGGGCAACTGTGAGAATTTGATAGTGAAATTTCTTACTCTACAGTGTGTGTATGTATATATATGGAGATGCAAAGAGGGATATGAATGAATGAAGGTCCGTCGTATATATAGATTAGTAGTATTTATTCAAACACAATGCAAATAAAATTTTATAAGTTATTTGTGTGTCTAAAATATTTTAAATCAAATATTATTAGTAAAAATGAATGATATAGATATGTACTATTTAACTTGTATAATTTACTAAATTAATTACATTAATATAATTTTTAGTGATTATGACTAATTAATTAGATGAAATATATTATAATTGTTATTAGAACAATTGGAGTTAATTTTTAGGGTTATGCTACATTGCCCACCTCCATTACAACTTGGTTTACAACCAAGTGTAATGGAGGCATTAAAAAATGCTTTTTTTAATGCCTCCATTACACTTGGTTGTAAACCAAGTTGTAATGGAGGTTGGCTAAGTAGCATAATTCTAATTTTTAAGGGTGATTTGTTGGGTTCTATGAGGAACGCCGTCTGTGTGTACATTCAAATCAATCGAAAATAAATATTAATGCAGTGGAACCTATTGTTAGGATCAAACCTTACGATTTAAAAGTTTGTCACCTCTGAGATGTTTATGATTTCTGCTGATGAAGATCGTCTGAACGTCAAAGTCCGTTAGGTTGTCGGACTAAGCCTCGCCATCACCACGTGGCATTTTTCGGTGTCTGAGTCACGTCTAGAATTGCCATCGAGCTTGTTGGACTGCTATTGGGCCGCACTCGGGATGTTGGAAGTGGTCCGGAATCGCCAAGGCTCGTCTGGTCCATGGACGACTCGCCTGGGGTCCTTTGGTGGGCTGGTGCCTGAGACCGCACGGGCTGATGCGCTGGTGGCCGAGACATCTTGCGCATAAGGCGCTGGTCGCACGACCAGGTCGCGTCGTTGCGAGTCTCGCGCGGTCGCGCTGCGCGCACGGGTACTGAGGCGATACAGTAAATGCAGGTCGTGCACTAGGATACATGGGTTGCGCGTTGTCCCGCTGCCTGCGTAGGATGCTGAGTGGGTCGCGCTGCTTATGCGCGCGGGCGATGCTCGAGTGACGCGTGGAGGCGCGTGAGGCTTCGACACCGGCGTGTACGGCTATGACTGGTGGTCCTGGGCACGTTGGTGGATGGGTCTTCCTCTAGTGGTCGTGCTCTCCAAGTCTCGTGGTTATCCGAGGTGTTGTGGGGTTGTATATATTCGACAGGATGCATATACATATTAGTCGGGATGCGAAATCAATACTCTGAGATCTTCTGTTGTATGACCAATCACATGTCCCAATTCGTCGTGATGAACGACTTATCGGATCTCCTAAAGCCTCACAATTTTTCTCCCTTTATGACCTCTCAGTTGTATTCGAATTTTCTCAAAGAGAAAAATTGTCTCTTCTACACGTTATTTTGGACGTGTGAATCATTATTTGGAGGCTAGAGGTCTTGGTGTATTTATAAGCTATAATAGGGACCCTAAAGAGGTGTTAAATATGGGCTTCCAAGTATGGGTCTAGCTGTAGGTCAAGCTCACTCTGCTCATACTTGAATAATATTAAATACCACTATAATAATATTACTGAACTCTACATTTAGCTACGGATTACAATTAATTCATTTCCCGACTATCATTCTCCCTATGTTTAAGATATAAAATATGTTGATTAATATAATTATGGACAAATATAATTAATCAATTTCTCAAATCCAAAACTAGTACCACTCAATCCTTTATTATTATGTCAGAAATTAATTCGTTGGTCGGGCTTGATATAATAGTTAGTTAATCATGAATATTTGTTGATATCAAAATCCCACTAACAACTAACTATATCATTTTTTTTAAAATTTAACCATGATTAAAATAATCTCGTTTTGAGCGTTTATATTTGTATCCAATCACGCCCTAAGTGGTTGGTTATGACATAAAAATTAATTAACTAATTATAATAAAAAAAATTGCGTAATGAGCTAGAAAAAGATAATAATTATTTAAAATAAATAGTTTGAGAAAAATAATTGTAATATAACTTTTTATATGTATATAATTGTATATATATAATTTTCCTATAGCATTTCGGGTGTCTTTATAATAAGTTAGTAGTAGTTATTATGTAATAAAAAAAATATAGTTATTTGATTATGTAAAATGTAATAGTTTCTTTTCAAAATATATTTATATATATAAAGAGAATAATTATTACTTTAAATAGTAAGCAAAAAATCCGCCAAAATGAATTACATGCCATTTTGGAAAATTTGTTGCATCCTTTTTACCATAAAATCAGACAGCTTAAATGGTGAGTTTTGTTCAATTAAGATTTGAAAATTGCGGTTGATGTTGAAGTGAATTTGAAATTTAAAATTCTTTTCATTTTAGTTTCAACAGATAACATGTAAATCGCGTTACAATTGTTTAAATAATATATTTTCAAAATCTATTTTTAGTCAAAAAAAAAAAAAAAATAAGTAATAAATTTTCAAT